CGGCTGGAGGCCGTGCTGGCTGCTAGCCCGGCCTGCGGCTCCAAGCACTGACAAACAAGGCCATAAATCAGCGAGATAAATAAAGCTCCCCCAGCAGCACGTTCTCGGCAGCTTCCCGCTGCCTCCCCACCCCCTGCTCCCAGGTCCTGCTGCGCTGAGCAGAATCACTGGGCGAGAAAGGCCCTGGCTTCTCCTTCGGGGCCTGCTGGACCACCTTCTCCGCAGCTCCTGCGCCAGCCGCTTCCCGATGCCCGCTCAGGCTGCGGCCCTGAGCCCGGAGGAGCCGACCAGGGCTTCTTCGCTCACAGCCCCGCTGGCTCCCTAGGCTTTGCCAAAGGACCCATCTCCCACGCACGCACACGCCGAGTCCTGCTGTTGTGGGCAAGCTGGCTCTGACCACCCTCTGTCCCGTTTCTCCTCTGCCCCAGTTTTTGACCAGCTGGATGTGGTGTCCTACGAGGAGGTGGTGAGGCTGCCTGCCTTCAAGAGGAAGACGCTGGTGCTCATAGGTAGGTCCTGCCCCGTGCGTCCCCCCCGCAGCATGGGGGGCCGTGTCTCGTGGGTCCCTTGGGGAACCAGGGCTGAACTCGGGCCGGGGCAGCACTGCCCTTCGGTGCCTGGTAAGCCCTGGGCAGCGTTTCTACAGCCGAGCAGGCCTGACACACCGTCGTGCGTGGTCTGGCCCCTGCACTGAACCACCCGCAGCGAGTCCAGGAGAGCCCTTGGCTCCTAAAAGACCTTTGTGGGTAACTTTTGTCAAACACAGCTCTGGTCAAAGCAACCACCACTGTGTCATGGGCTCTGAGCACCCACCACTGGGCACCACAGTCATGAGAGAGCCCACGTGGCCCAGCCGCACCAGCCACTCAGCAAGGCACCCGTCCTGTCACCAGCTGGAGCTGGGGGCGAGAGCGCCCAGTGGAGGGAAATCCTGGCCCAGGGCTGGGAAACGTTACAGACCAGCTCAGGCAGCAGATCCTGGGCAAGGTCCTGGAGAGCTCTGCACCTTCCCTTGGACAGAGGGCTGCGGAGGGGCCCTGGCCTCTCCTGCTGCCTCCTCCGAGCCCAGCTCCAGCATTCATCCCCGCTTCCCCACAGGGGCCAGTGGAGTGGGTCGCAGCCACATCAAGAACGCTCTGCTCAGCAACAACCCGGAGAAGTTCATGTACCCAGCCCCGTGTAAGTAACCACGCGGGGGCAAGGCGGGCAGCCCTGCCCCGGTGCCCGCCGCAGGGCAGGGCAGAGCATGCAGCATGTTTTCCCTCACCTCCTCCTCCCCAAGCCAGCAAGGCCTGGCACAGCCAGGACCTTCTGACAGCAGATGAGACAGGAGGTGGGGAAGATGCTCCTCCAGCACTTCCCAAGCCTCGCACAGCAGAGGCCACCATGCAGAGCACCACAGGGCCCCCTTCCCTGCTGCCTGAACACAGCCCCAAGGCTGCAACCACCTGTGCTGCAGAAAGACCTTGATCTTCACATCTCAGCACAAGGCTGCAGGGCCTAGATGGCTCTCTTTGGGCTAGCTGAGCAGGGATGAGTTGCCTTCTCATCCCAAGCAGGAAGGAGTTAAAAGGATTAGTAGCCTCACCTTGGAGGTACCAGGGTCCTCTGTGCTCTTCCTTGCCCCAGCCTCAGTGCTCAGCATGTGAGCATCAGACCTGTCCCCCTACCTTGGCCACCCAGAGCAGAGCTGCCCAAGAGGTGCTCTGCAGCAGCAGCCGCTCCAGTCCTTCCCCGAGTCCTTCCTGGGGGCCAGCACTGAGGGCACCGGCCATTTCCCTCCCTCCCCAGACACCACACGCCCCCAGAAGAAGAACGAGGTGGACGGCAAGGACTACTACTTTGTCTCCACTGAGGAGATGACCCGGGACATCTCAGCCAATGAGTTCCTGGAGTTCGGAAGCTACCAGGGAAATATGTTTGGCACCAAGTTCGAGACAGTGCACAAGATCCACCAGCAGGACAAAGTTGCCATTTTGGACATCGAGCCCCAGGTAGGCAGCACAGGGATGGGCAGAGAGGCCTGAAGTTGCCCTGGCTCTACCTACCTTGTGCTGGCCGTGACTGTGCCTGCCTTCTCCAGCAAGCTGCATGTGCGTCCTTCACAAAGTGAGGGCGAAAGGCCGGGGAGTGCTGGGAGCATTTCTGGCTCCAAGACATGGGCATGGTGAGGGTATTCGCAATCGCAGCATGTGCCTGGCTGGCAGAAAAGGCCAGGGCCTGGCCGCTGTGAGAGCAGGGGGTTCGGCCCCACGCAGGGACCCGCTGCCCTCTCCGACACTGAGCACGTCAGTGCTGCTTTGCACAAAGGAGGATGTTTGTCCAACAGCCCCGCTGCTGGGCTGCAAGCTCCCAGCATAGGGTCCTGGGGGGACCCGTGCTGGGACTCCTGCCCCAGCTTCGCCCAACTACCCCTGCATCACCCTCTTGGAGTCCACCCATGGAGCCCATAGCCCCAGATGAGGTGCTGCCCTGTTATCCCAGCCTCGCACACCGGCCAGGGGACAGCCCTGCACCACGCAGCATGGGGCTGCAGCCGGCCGGCAGTGCTTGCTCCTGCCCCGAGGAGTGGCCGCTCCAGTAACTCCACCTGCTCTCTCTGCAGACCCTGAAGATCGTCCGCACGGCCGAGCTTTCTCCCTTCATAGTCTTCATTGCCCCAACAGACAAGGCGGAGCAGGTGAGTGGCACAGTGCCCTGAAGCTACGGTTCTGTCCCCCTCCTGCTAGGCTTAACCTGCCCCCAGAAACTGTGTCCTAAGGCAGGGGTAGCCCAGTACCCTTGGGAGGAGAAGCCAAGCAGCAGCCCAGGGCTCTCCCTGCTCCATAACTAGGACCAGCTTCCTCCTTCTCTACACTGATTTTTGACAGCAGGGCAACTTCATCAGGCCAAGCCTGAGAAATGGGAATCAGAGATTCCTGCAGCCCTAGATGCCCCCCAGCAAGCATTTCCCCTGTAGCATAATCCACCGCTAACACGCGGCTGGGTGCACAGCTCAGCACCCAGGGGCCCTGCCTCCAGCTGCAGCAGGAAAATGATTTATCCTGTCATCGGCTATGCAAATAGCACACACAAACAGCAGCTCCTTCCATTCTCTGGCTCATTAAGATGCTAATTCCTCCAGAATTAGGATGAAAGCAGCAGGGATGCTGCTGTTAACTCATGCAGCACCGAGCTCCCCGAGGAGGGCTGGCAACCCCAGCTGTTTCCCAGGGAGCCCTAGACACAGGGTTGCTGCCTACCCTGACCGGGCACAGCCCGGCTGACACCCCCGGCGTGGGCTAACCTCCCTGGGGAGAAGAGCCCCAGGGCCCAGTGCCGCTTGCAGCCCCCGAGAGAGGAACAGGCTCCTGCCGCAGTGGGCAGGGCCAGCCCTGCTGTTGTCCGTGCTATGTATAGCCATCTGGCAGGGCTCAGGGAACAGCTCACTAGGAGGAACAGCAGGGCCAAAGCGGCTCACTAGGAGAGACAGCAGGGCCAAAGCATGACCTAGCAGAGTTCAGATGACCCAGGCAAACTGTGTATCGCTCTCCTCCCCCTGCGATAGCTGCTGAGCAACAAACAACAGGGCTGCAGCGATCACGTCATCCCAAGCAGGGAGCTGCACACATTTCAAGCTCCCTTAGGGAGATAAATGCAAATTGGTCTGGACTTCCCTGCTGAGGGCATTAACCACCCAGAGGGGTGCCACCCTGTTACTGGGGCACCCCTGCTAGCTGCAGGGCTGTGGGAGATGAGCCACGCTGGCAGGAGGGGGCAGGTGGCTTTCCTGGGCTGGGCTGCCCATACCTGCACCCAGGGCCACCCTGGCTGCTGCTGGCACCCAGAAGCAGCACTCTGGCCCAGCATGGAGCCTGCACACCCCCTGGCACCCCCACTCTCACCCCAGCAGTTCCTCCCTCGAGACTCTGTGGGTCTGCACCCACCCGAGGGACGGCGGGCAGAGGGTCTGCTGCCCACAGAAGGGTTATTTACCAGCACCAACAGGAGAACACAGTTGCAGTGCTGCCTCCCACCCCACACATGAACACTCTTGCTCTTACCTGCCAACACGGCTTTTTACAGCTTGCGCTGCCTCTGGAGCACAGCATGGGCTGCACTGGAGAAAGGTGCTTGCTGCCCAGTTAAAGGGTCTGTGGAGGAAGAGACAGCGGTGGGCTTGGGGCGATGGGTACGGCTCTGCCAGAGAAGCCAGTGGGAAGGGACCATGTTGCAGGGACCGCACCTTCAAAGCGGCCTCAGGCCTCGAGCTGGCTGCGCCGTGTAGCAGTGGCAACGAACAGCCTGCTGCTAGGTGAACCATCTCATCCCGGGGAGCTGCCACAAAACATCCTCAAGACGAATACGAGGCCAAGCAGAGCTGGCCTCACCCTAGCAGGTAACCTGATGCTCACAGCGTTGCCTCGAAGTCTAGCAAAAACCCACAGACACCCACTCCTGTGAGACTGCAGCAGCGCTCTCCGCCTGTCAGGGGTACTCTGTGCTCTGAGACTTAGCAGCAAGTTAAACATTAGACGTTTTGTGGGCGAGAGGAAGCTCAGCTGTTGGGGTGAGCTGTGCAACTCCTCCCCTGCCCCCTACCCTCTCCCCCAAGAGCTCCAGGAAACAAGGGCAGTCATTCAGCCGGGAGACCCTTTCCTGCCCAGCCTTCTGAGCACTCTCTCCTGTTTCTTGCAGTCAGAGGCTTTGCAGCAGCTCCGGAAGGATTCAGAGAGCATCCGGAGCCGATACGCACACTACTTTGACCTGTCACTAGTCAACAACGGGGTGGATGAAAGCCTCAAGCTGCTGCAGGAAGCCTTTGAGCAGGCCTGCAGCTCCCCACAGTGGGTGCCCGTCTCCTGGGTGTACTGAGAGAGCGTCCGACCCCAGCCTCTTCCCACCAACCCATCCTGCAGAAACGGGGAGAAGAGAAACCTTCTCCTCGGCTTCCCCTGATCAACACACAGCCCAAAACAACTCCCTGCCTCTGCCGTTTCACGGACAGTCTCATTCAATCCATCATGCACAGGGTCTCCAGATCTCCTCTCCTGGGGGAACGCAGGACAGAGCCTGCCCAAGGGGCAAAACGCCAGGGCTAAGTTACAGGCTACGGCAGGGCCCAGGGCATCCCCTCAGCTCAGAGCACAGCTTCCCCACCTTGCCAGGTGGGGGAAAAAGCACAACTCTGCTGTAGTACCCAGCTGACCTTGGTCTCTGCATCAGACCTGAGGGAAGCTGTAGCACAAGGGCCTTCCAGGAAGACATCTTCTGCCATCGCAGGTGTGCACACTGCGCAGCACAAACACTTTGAAAGCCTGGCTCATGTTTGTAAGGCTTCAGGAAAGCCCTCAGCTTGGGAGGCTTCTCATAACCTGCACCAGAGCTCCTAAATACAAGGGTTTCCCCTCACAAACAGGGAAGAGCAGAGAAAGGGTGAACGTGGATCTGACAAGAGAGGCTTGGAGCATGCTTTCACCAGGCAGGTCTCACCCTTGTGTTCTGAAGTTTGGGTTTTCTGACTCACCCTGTGCACCTTTAACTTGTAAAAACTCCCTGTATTTAAATTCTCACTGTGCAACCCCAATTGTTACAGGCTGGACAGAAATTCAGCAGTAGCTAAGTTAAGTCCCACAGACCAAATTCCAGAGGGACAGTTCATTAATTAGATCCAGCCACAATTATCCATTGCATGCAGTAGAAACAGTGTCTCTACAAAGATCATCCAGTCATGTTTTCCGGAGTCTAGGGTGTCTCACACACTGTATGCAAATATAAAAGCCACTCATACAATGGGATTCCTTCTTATGCAGGAGTGTACTGATGCACAAGTCCCAGCCTGACCATGTCCAGGAAGCCTCACCATGCCTCCTGGGCAAACCATAGCCATCGTTTTGGAGAAAGATCTCCTTTGTGTGTTTCAGCAGTTAGCAGTGGGAAAGGGGAAGGGGGTTAAGAAGTCCTGTGCAATTTTTTAAGGATGCCAAAAATAAAATGTTAACGTGCAATAGGGACCTTTGTTCTGATCCACTGCAGGGAAACAATGAGCAGCAATAAACGTGTGCTGAAACAGTGCCATGACTCGTATTTTGCATCTTAGGCTGAGCCCTTGCTCACAGCTGAAGATCT